TATTTAAATAAATAAAATAATTCATGCATCTCACGAAAATAAAATTTTAATTTATATTATAAATTAAATTCAAATTCATTCTATCGTATTATATTTCAAGTTCAACGCCAAATTTGCGACGAAGGAATTATAGCAATGCTACCCTATTGGTTATTAACTTAACCTTTGTAAGTACTAGTATTAAAAAGATGTCGGTAAACGATGTGTATTTGTCGCACTGTAAACGCAACAGCAAAGCGTCCTGACAATACTTGAATTGGATGGGACACGGTTTCGTTGTCCTGTCTAGAGCGCCATATTTTAATTACTCAGTCCATCCAAGGGCCCATTAAGGTTCGATTTGTTTGTCTAAAATTAAAAATAACGATATTATTTATGCAGCGATAAGATTAAATATTATAAATGATAAAATTAAAATTAATAGTAATTATATACATTTAAATATAAATATAATGACAACAATAGAATTAAACATAATAATGGATTTTTTATCATAATTTCATATATTAAATTAGTCGTCGTAGACTTTCTCTCTCCAATCAAAACTTGAAAGAATACATTAGTTGGAGACTCCAATTGCACTAAATACAATTTAGGGAGTGACGGAATTAAAACCGAAGTGGAGCACAGAAATTGATCATCTCTGGACCAAGTTTTTACCATCTTTACTTAGGCACTTTTCCGATATGTCTAGGTTTGATTTACACTACTTCTGCTTGATAAAATTATTGAACAAACTTTCCAGTTTCCCTTACTATTATTCTTTGTTATTCCTGGAGCGGTTGGGTCGGATTGGATATACCTTTGCCTAACCCCAGGTGTTCTCCTCTGTCTGGGCAAAGCCTTTGGTCTGATCCAGCACTTTAAGCTGTAATCATAATGGCATAGCAATACTATATATCTTTTGTAGTCATTTTTGGCATTTCTTTTCCCTTTACCAAAATCACAAGGGCGATGGGAATGAAGTACATGTTATATTCACATTAAAGAAAAAAAAAAGCATTATATAAAATCTTAATTGCAACTTAGTTCTTATTTTTTTACATACTAACCACGAATTTCATATAAAATGAATTCATAAAACGTATATGTTATATTCATTATTATGCACATCAAAGGTACTCGTAAATTTCACATTTGATGAATGAATTTCAAACGGATCATGATTACAAGTAGCATTTCGGTTGTTTACACAAGACTATAATAAAGAAATTGAATTATTGAAGTTTGGAAGAAAGATTATATCATTAAATAGACTCACAACCATAACCCCTTTCTCAATATCTTAATTTTGGGGCTGGCAGCTGCTGCCCCGTTTTGGACGTTGGCTGTGGTACGTATGTAAATCCGTTTGTCCATCCCCTCTCCATCTACTGCTAAACAACGGTCCAGGACCTAGTTGATCCCAATTATAAACCACTAAAAACAGTACTTTAATATTAAATCCCCTATTTAAGGAGCAAACCTTTGTAGTTAAGCTGATAATACTGATGAAGCCCACTGTCAAAACCCCTTATCATCTAGCTACCATTGCCTAACACCGTCCTCGGATTCAAATTGGGCAATAACAGGTTAAATGGATATCTTTAAATATTGAAAAACAAAAAAGAAATTAAAGACAAAAAATTTTTAAACATTTTTTATCGATAAAACTAATAAATTCATCAATAATATATATATATATATATATATATATTATAAATGAACAATCTCAAAAATAAATTTTAAATCCATCACCGCCAACACCATTAGATTAACTGTTGCATTTACATGTTAAGTGATCGAGAGTACCCTTCCTTTTTATTATTATTTATTTTTTTCAAATCTTTTTGAAGCGATAAAGTCAACAAGGATTTTTTTTTTTTTGTCATTGGTTCATGCATGGGCAAATTAGTAATTAGCCTAATTCTTGAACTCTTACAACTAAAACAATTTATGTTGATGTCAAGAGACTGAGTAACTATTCACTATTCAGTGCAGCTTTGCAGTCCGCAAACGAAACTTAAAAAATGAAGTTCCCAAATTTTATGGACAAATTAAGAAATGTTCATTCAATGGTTTATGCAGTCCTTTTTCTTTTTTTTTTTCTCTGTTTATTGTCTTCAAACAATATTGCACCAGAGGGGCTTTACTTATGTCCTAAGGTTTTTAAATGGGATCGGGGAGGTTGAATTTGGGGGATTCCAGTTTAACCGATTCAACTAACGGATTCAATTTGAAAGAAAGTGTAATTTTAAATATTTAATAAAATTTTATATTTGTTATCATTATATATATATATATATATTATACACTATCTATAAATCAAATTATTTTATTTCATTAGTAATCAAATATAAACTTTTACGCCCTTAGATAAAGATATAAATTTTAATTTTTTTAAATATCTTTATTAATGAGATGATATTATTTGATCTATTAATAATTTATAAATTTTATACATTGTCATTATTGTATATATTAATAAAATATCAAATGTAAACTCATTTAATAAATACTCCATGAAATTTGGTAAATATTTGACAAAAATACTCACTTGGCTTAATGATATGATCTTTAATATTAAATCAAGAGATTGAAGGCTCAAATCTACTACTTGTAAATAATTTTTGAATAAAAATAATAAAATAAACCTTAAATTCGATTTAATCCGGTTTGTACTTTTTTAACCATTTCATCCCATAAAATAGAATCACAAATAGAGCTTGTTAGACAACCCCACCAAATCTTTTTAACTCCTACCGAACATCGAGTTCTTACGATATCATGAGCTAAACCTATTAGCTTTCCTATTGACATGACCAAATAAACAAGAATTGAAAGTCTTTTATTGAAAGAACAAATAATCGATTTTTATTCAATCGGTTCGATTTATTGATTTAATCAATTTAATTTTTTAATTATCATTTATAAGAATGTAAATAAATAAAATATTTGATAAATAATTCATGAATATATTTAATTTTTATTCATTTATATTTATTTATTAAAATTAATAAATGATCACAAATAATATTTTTAAATTTATTAATTAAACAAATAAATCATAATTATAATAAAATTTATTCATATTCGATTCGTTCGTAAAAATAAATAGTGTTCAATGAACAATTTGTAAATAAACTCAATTTTTATTTATTTATATTTATTTATTAAATTTAACATAAAAATCACGAATAACATTTTACAAATCATTAATTAAATAAATAAATTACATACACATATTTCATTCATTTACACCTCTAACTATTTATGCCATCCAATGTTTTATTGTATTCAAAATTGAAAAACCTTGGGTCAAAAAAGAGAGATACTGAATATACATATATACTTAGTTTAGAAAATAAAAGTGCAAACTTTTAATGTTGGCATCATGGATTTTCATTTTTGAATTAATCATTATCAGAATTAACAGGGTGAAATTAAGTACTAATAAGAAATGTATACGTCTCCAAGCTCAATCAATGATTATAGATGAAGATAGTGGTCATGATTATATACCTCAACCCTTCACTTCCTTAGATCTCACACTATGATAAGAAACATACATGCAAAAATTGAAGGAATTACAATTAAAAGTATTACTAGATAATGAAACGACGAAAACCGGCCTTAATCCCTACCCAAATTAAAGCACCAGATATTGAGTTTGAGTCCCGGCACCACCTACGTTATCTTGGGCGGCCCACATGATGATACCGTTGGTGCACATTAAAAACAAGAACACGAACATGCACAAATAGTACCCAAAGTACAAAACCTCAATAAATAAATATTCATGAGATTGCTAGGCCATTGTTTCTAAAGTTGAAGCAAATTTATTCCATGAATAAATGTTTTGCCCTCTTGCCCTACCCTTTCTCACCCATAACATTAAAAGCCATCTATATGATATTTCAACTATAGCCCTTGCGTAAATTTAATCTCCAAACTGTCAATTGGTCCATCGCTACTTCATATTTTTTTTGCCAAGCTACTTGCAAATTTTATTTACTTCAATACTTAAATACTTGTTGTAATGTAAAATTGACTTGGTTTACTGTGTTGTTTTTTTTTTTTACTCGAACAATAATGCAAAAGAGGAGTAATCAAAAACTCCCTACCTTGGTACCTCCTAAGTCCTTCCTACTGACTTAATTCCTCACATTTTTTCGGTACTTCATATTCCTAATTTTTAGAATGAAATAGTTATCTGCATTTCTCATTTAGTAATCAATTAATTATAGAAAAAACTCAAATTACCAATAGTAAAATTAACGACATTTTTACTGAAATATCAATTGTAACAGCAAAGGATGTTTGAAAGATCGTAGTGGAGCAGCAGATGTTTGAAAGATCGCAGTGGAAAATTATTTGTTGATGGTCAATCCGAGAAGAAAAAAAAAATCTCTTCAACCAGTCGTCAATTAAATCCAAAATTCTTAATTCACTCAGTAGAGCCAATAGATTGGAACATGGAACTGTGTAGGATCACACTCCAAAGTCAAAACGTGATATTCTCCGGGTACTTCCCTTTGTCTTATCTTTCCAGAGATTATTCTTCCCTGGACACACGAGTTTTATAAGAACAAAAAAGGGTTTTCTCATTAGCCCTTCTAGGTTTTATACCTTGGGTTTTTATGCTTCGGTTTAAGGAACTCAGGAGCAAACGAGAGAAAAGAACATCCACGGATATCCTTAACCAATGCCTTTTTATTGTTTAAACGAGAACCGAGAACCCAAAAGCAGGACAAATACAGACTTTTGAATTCCAAGGTCAACTCAATTTAAGCTATCGACCAGATTGACAAACATCACGACTCAGAACTTGTTGCTACTAAAGAAGAAACACTTGTCCTTTTTCTTTCTTCTTTTTATTATTTCCAATGCTAAAGCAGAAGATGCATAATAGTATATGTGAATCAAAGAAACGAAGAGACAAGAAAATTACGTAGTCGTCTAGGGATTACATTACATGTTATAAAACTAGTAAATATGATTATCATATCATATACTTTAACTATATGAAATACGCTTCTAATTAGTAACATGATGATTTTGATATCAGTCAAAGTATCCAATGACTTGAATTTAACAGCAAAAACCCTAAACTAAGCATCCAGTACTGTCGACAAAAGAGACCCACAACTTGGATTGTTGATTTTCACCTCACGCTGGGGTTCCAACTTGCATTGTGATGGGCTCAAGAATTTTGAACCCTAGCTGCTAAGGCACCCATGAAATCCGGGTACTGAAAGATATCATCCAACATGCAGTCTTGACCCAACTGTAGATGGTTCATTTGTATCTCATTGCCGTATGGCACCGCTTGAGGACCTGAAAATCCATTGAAACTCTCAAACTGCTGAGGAACCCCAGGATGGTAATCAATATAAAGACCTAAATGCTCGTTCTTAATCTCCTTCTTCAACCCACTCAGGGACTGACTGAAGGACATTTCAGTTACTGGTGAAACGATGGAATCATGAGTGCAGTTTGAGATTCTAGTACAATCAGTATCTGAATTCTTTGAGGTGGGCTTTGGTAAGAACCCTTGAATTATCTCCTGCAACAAGCCAGAATCAGAAGGCTCCTGTGGGAAGAATTCCATGTCATCAGCTTGACTATTTGACATGGTAGGCACAACAGTGTTATGACTGGAATGGTTATCCTTGAGAGGAAGAGTCATAGTAGAGCCAATGAATGAACCAGTGATGTTGTCGCTTGCCCGTAGAGAAGAGTTGGTAGAGGAATTCATCAAGGTACTGCCAGGGAAAACACTTGGAGTTGAGAAAGTAGAAGATATTGAAGAAGCAGAAGATGTTCCATTGATAAATGGAAACTGGTCAACCAGAGACTGAGGAGGCGCGTGGAGCGATGAATTTGAAGACGAATTCAAGAGGTCACGTAATAAAAGCATGTTCAGAGAAGCATTTCTTTGAGGTGCAGATCCACCAGAGAAGTCTCCCACATGGGTATTAGCAAACGACGGCCAATTTGAAGAGTGCCCAAACTGATGGCGAGTGCTGTTAAGATCCCTGATGGATGGCTGTGATTGCTTCGAGAAGTTGAAAGGAGGAAGAAAATGGTCGTTGGTGGAGTGAGGCTCGGTCACAGGGTAAACAAAATTGGTTCGAGCCTTAATTCCACGCATGGCTCGAGCAGCACAGTCATAGGCACAAGCAGCCTCCTCGGCCGTGTCAAAAGTGCCAAGCCACCGCCTCTCCTTGGATTGTGGGTCTCGTATCTCAGCAGCGTAACGGCCCCATGGCCTGCGGCGGACCCCACGATACCTCATAGTCCCACCAGGGCCGCCATTTTCTTTGAGAGACCTCTTGTTTGTCGTTGTCGTTGCAGTGGTCGTGGTGTTGGTTGTCGTGGCGGTAACGGAGGTGGCGTTTGTGGTGTGGGCGTCGCATTTCTTTGGATTGTCGGTGATGAGGTCTCGCGGGTCAGGATCAGGCACATGAGTGATACCACTAAGTCTCCTAAATGCTTCTTCCATTGGGTAAATCTTGAAATTCTTCAGCACAGAACAACGTTCCAAGGAATCAAAGGCAACAAACAAGAAAAAGAAAATCGTTCCTTTCTCTGGGGCTTGGCACCTGGAAACTGGAATGTGGACTGTGGTGGAGCATATAATATCACATATGCTTGTATTTATAGTAAAAATTACCATGAAGGGAAGTGGGAAGAGGAGAGACAGCTTCAGAAGAAAGTGACCCATTTTTATTCATGCTTTTTTTTTTTTTACAAACACAAAATTCCAAAAAATACGGTTTCAAATTAGAGAGTTATTCCTAATATTCTAACGACTAAAAGATATTCCACACTTGACCAATCGGGTTTGGGTTTTACTGCACTCGTAGTGCGATGTAATTGAATTTATTGTAATATTAATTAAATTTAAATATTAATTTTAATAAAATTTATTTAACATAAGTTTTGTAAATTATAATTATAATAATTTTTTTATTAGTTTTAATTTTATTATAATTAATTTCACCAACTATTCAAATCATCTCTTAATAATTTGTTATTTATATAATTTTTAATATATCACATAATAATATTTTATAAATTATTATTATGTGACTTACTGCCAGCATGTAAATCCGTACACTATTATCATATATAAATTTTTTATCGAATACATTTCCTCTAACTGGTAACATTTTATTTCTTGAGGAATTTTGCTTTGTACAATGTGTATACGGGAGAAGTGAGAAGTTTTTTTGTTAATTGTCCTTTAAAAATTCATCTGCTCTGTTCTCTCAGAAATAATGCAGTCCTTAAAAGTTTTTAGTACTCCCCCTCTTTCATGCGTGTTACGGACCACCCTCCAGAGACGAAGACTTTTTCTTTTCAAGGACTTACTCTTTCCATCTCAATTCTCTTTTAATCTCCATCACACCAAAAGCATTTTCTTTTAAATTTTAACCCATCATTTAAGTACTATATTAATTTTTTTTTTATTTTTCAAGAGAAGATTTAAGCCAAGAATTAATTTGTTTCAAATTATTGAAAGTGTTACTAATAATCTATGCATGCTTTTCTATCAACATTGAAAAACGTTCACTATTTGATTTCTGTCAAAAGAAGATGTTTTTGACATTCAAGAAAAGGAAAATATAATTGGATATCTGCCTCCGCCAGCTAAGAAGTAATTGCCTTCGGCTATTTCCGAGAGCAATGAAAGTGTGGAAGAAAAAAAAAACAAAAGAAGAGAATGGGTATGGGGTTGTCGTTTTGGGGAAAATGGCAAATACTTTTGTTTTGATTGATGTGGATTGAAGATTTCAATGATATTGTAGTAATTATATGTTCCCTTTTTTTTTTTTTTGGCTTGGAAATCACTCCATACAAAATAAATCAAATGCATTTCTGTTTAAGGGTCTGTGTCTACACGTCTCCATCTAACATGCAATAAAGAATCCGGATTTTTGCGCAAGATAGAAGATAGAGGTTGCTTAGTTGTTTAATTTTCTTTCAAGTATTTGAAAGAAAAAAAAAAGAAAATTTCTGGGAAGTTGAAGAGCTATTATATATCTCTGGTTCTTGTGATTATCATTCTGAATGATTACACTGGCGGCGCTCAGAAGTTGTTCCTCCCATTTTGGTCTGTGTTATTTTCTTGGCTCCATTTTGAGGTGGTTTTCCGTTGACATATCTTTGCAAATAATTGATTTTTCAAGGAATTGAGGCATTGCTTGCTTTTGCTTGCGTTAGTGATGGGGTTTAGGGTTTGAAAACCAAGGATTTATGGTCACATGGACTTGTCCCATGTAGGGTTTTGGTAGGGTCTTTAAGGGATGAGTTTTTTAGGTTCTGTTGGGCAATAGATACAGACTAAAGTTGATGTGTATTTGAAACCCCCCCCCCCCCCTCGCCCTTTTAGTCAGAAAAAGAGAGGAAGCTGTCCATTACCCCCATTTCTCTATCCCCTCCTTGCCCTAACCTCATCTTTGGATTTCAACTATCAACTAATTACTCCTCTTCTTTTGGTTTCTTTCATGAACCACTCTCTTAATACGAAGAAAAAAAATATCATTTCAATATTATAGTATTTGTCAACCAATTAAGGTTCTTTAATTACACTGAACCTTAATGCTTCACAAAGTACATCTTTGGTATATTTATCAAGGGCTTAAAGACAAATTAATATTACAAAAAATATATATAACCAAACAATTTGTGATTAATAAAATAAGAATATAAGCAAACAATATCGAAAAAATAAGAGTATTGTAAAATATTTAAAATTTGAAATGAAATGAAACAACATTCATGACCATCCATCCACAATAAGTATTTGTCTGATGCTGATGCATCCGTCGTGAATCAGCTGTGGCTGTAATTAGGAACATTAAATTTAAATTCAATAATAATAACTACTACTATATTATATCAATAATGTCATTTTTGTATGGTATATTAGATGTGTCAGTCTTTTGTGGCACCACCTTCGTACGGCGGCAGGGGACCATCTAAATCTTTAGATTGCATGACTCATCCTCGCCCATTAAACATAATCTTCTTCTGTTCAACCCGACTCCTGCTTTTCTTTTTTGGACACTCTTTCTGTGCCCTAAATCTCACTTTCCACTAGCAACTAAGAATCCATCCCTAACTACAATACTTCTCTTTTTATTACTTTTTCTTCCATATATAGTCAGCGTATGATCATGGTAGAAACTTAGAATAAAGCATTAAAATTATTTGAAATATTCTTTTACATTGATACAATACATCAAAATTTTACTATTAGTTTATCAACTAGACTCATTTTAATAAATTATTTTTTATATGCAATATATTAGAATAGAATAGATTTTATTTTAATCAGAGAATTTTTCATTGACCAAGGGAGGATTAGTGCAATGAAAGGAGCTCTCTACCACATTATTACGTTAAAAAAAACACATTTTCAAAATTTTAAAATTGTTATTTTATTTTTTAAAAAAATAAAATTAAATGATTTAAAATTCGAATGTTAAAGTTTAAAACTTTTTTATTCTCTAAATACTCTCCCGACTTGTAAAACCTACCCTCAACATGCAAATATTTTGTACAAACCAGATGCTTTGTTTGCTGTGGTTTGTTATTTCTCTCTTTTCTCATTTATTGGCCATATTTAACAAATCCGAATATCAAGACTTTCACATCGTAAAATGACACTCTCTAAACATTATGTCCCTGCCGTTTGATAGCGGTAAGCACCTACATGGTTTTTGGTAAAGAAATGTGACGTTGGATTAGCAATTTAACCAATGGTTCCTCCAACTTATTTGTCACTTCATGCAAGTGATTTAAACTAGTAGTTGCTGTCATATTAAAAGAAAGGTGATGCTGAAATACTAATATATGAGAGAGAGAGTAAATGACGGTGGAGAGTAGAGAAGGCTTTAAAGGAGGTGCGGAGACGCCAACCAGAAAAAGTGAGAAGCAAGATTTTCAACGACAAGAAGAGATTCTGTCAGAACCCAGAGGAAATAGAATCAATTGAGCAACCAGCTTTTTACTGCCAGCATATGAGACATCCCACTAACCTTACGCGCTCCACATGCACATGGAATTTAAATAGCCATAATAATAACTTAATTTTTGTATATTAAATATATATAACTTTAAAATTATTAAATTATAATTTATATTAAGATTTCAAATATAAAGTATATTTTTAAATTTTTATTAATTTTAATATTTTTTATTTATATTATATTTATAATTATAGTATCTCTCTTCAACTATCCATCAACTATGTATTTGTACGTCCAAATTCCCTACACAAAAATCAACACATATATGAGAGGAAATGTATATTACTCCTCAAAAATGCAAATGTCGAATTGTTACCTTAGGACGTGTTGCACAAAGATTAATTTAACGGTTTGCTACAATGCCGCCACGCCCGGCCCTGCCTTGCCGGCCTCTTCATGCAATGTGACACCAGGACTGATCAATCATCAATTCTTCGTTCGTACGATGTGCATTATGCCGATTCAATTCTCTTTTCCAGAAAAATATTTGTAACATCATCATGTAACGAGAGAGAAACCAAACATTGGTGGGTCCTTTGTCATACCTATGTTTTTCCAGCATAACCCATTAATTCTCCCCCTTTTTTCTATTTTTCTTTCTTTTGAGGGGAGAAATTAAAGGCCTCCAACAAGATCTAACTTCTAAAATATGTACATATAATATAATACCCTATTCTTTCAAAGGAAAAAAAAAAAACCTTATATTCCAATAAATTGAAGCTTTCATCTGAGTATATGTCAAACAACTTTCTATTGTAGTGATTCAATTCTAGTTTGCCAACACTCGGACAATTGTTTTGATGATAAAAAGCTCAAACCAATTTCTGAATTTCGATTTCTGAAGCACTGTACATTGTGATTTCATGCGATAACGACTAAAACTATATATGCCTCATCAGGTAATTACTTTTGTAGGTCAATTTGTTTATTTATTTAGATTAAGGCAATCAATTAATTCATATTTGGTTAATCTTGAGACATTATTTTCTTTTGATACTATAATTTAATTATAATGAGGTGATCGAATTATAATCTAACGAGTAAATAATACTAGAATTGGACACACACCCGTTATAAATGTGGGTCAAAGCAAAAAATTTAGAAAAAAAAGTTGTGGGTAGTTTTTTTATTCAAGTATCTAGTAAATTACCTTCACTACGTTTCGGAAAGTAACAGAAAATTGAATTTTTTTTTTTTTATTTATCTTTAATTAATAAAAATTTAATTATAAATTTATTTAAAATTATCTCTAAGTGGATAAGTTGATCTTATTTTGTTATGTTTGATAAAAAAATTATAATAAGATAAAATAAAATGATATTATGAATAAGATTAGATTAAATAATAATATTTTATTTTATATTTGATGTCTGTAAAAATTAAAATAGGATAATTTATTTACTAATCAAAATTATCTTTCTTCAAACTTTAAATTATTAATATAATTTTTAAGAATATAATAAAAAATATAAATTTAATCTCATAAATTAAAGATAATTCTTTTCACTTTAAAAAAATTGAATTATCCTATACTAAGAAGATAATCTTTCTTATAATTTTAACTTTTAATTATATACAAACTAAATATAATATAAAATTATTATCATAATATCATATTCAATATCT